CATGCTGGTGCTAGGACACTGTTTCTGAAGGTGAAATTGCTCCTGAACTGAACAAAACATTTCAAGCTCAAGCACAAAGTAGATGATATTATATATCCTTATGTAAATAATAAATAACAAGAACATTCAAGCTATGTGCGACCTATTTACAAAAATATGTACTGAATCTTGGTACAGCTGATACCATACTTGCAAATAACAAGCCAAATTCATCCTTGCTTTAATTTTATGTATTTATTTAACTGTTCTTATCTGCAGCCTCAACGTTCAACCAAAATTATAACAGTTGCAATTTTAGACATATTACCGGATATTCTAATGCACATAGATATACATGTGTATTTCCTCGTAAAGGTAGTGGAAGTTCTTTGCATGTTATTATGAGACTTAACCTATACATATATAACCGTAATACTTTATGTATATAAAGTTTTTCTTCCTGAGAGATACCAAAGAATCCACTATGAAAATGCAACCACCTCTGGGGTGAAATGGTGTAGCTGTTTTAAGCATAGAGCAACGCTATACAACAGATTAGAACAAGAAGAGAAGAATAATATTGAATACTTTTGATTGAAACTGAAGAATATAATTATGCAAATTGGAAATTTGTTTTATAATCTGGGCATCCCTCTCTCTAAAACCATTATATGCAGGCTGTGTCTGAATGTTGCAATTTCTTCCTGTATAACATCTCCAAGATCCAGCCTTTCCATTCCATCCACACACCTAAAACACTTTTATCCACATCCTCCTCTTCTTGCACTTTGACTATTGAAACCTCCTCCTCTCTGGCCTTCATACCCTACTTATATCCATTCAAAACACTGCTGTAAAGATCACCTTCCTGGCTCATTCAATCTCATCATCTCCCTCCTTGCATTCCTCCTGTCTCCGTTTTTTTCCACTTCATCATGAACCAACTGTCTTTCACTTTAAGGCCCTTTTGGTCTACTCCAGCCCTACCCATCATCTCTTACATGCTACAGAGATTTAAACTCCCACTGCACCAACAGTACCCTCCTTGATTGCCCATTTGTCAAAATTTTGGATAAACAGTGTTGTGCTTTTTCTGATGCCTCTACATTAGACACGGTAAGAACTTGCTGTAAATATCTGTAACACACTCTACGTTATCCTCCTTTTAGTTTCTCCTAAAAACCAACCTATGTCATGATGTTTCCAAAATGCTTCACAATAGTGAGGCAAGTGGTATGCTGTGACTGCTGTTTATTACACTGGTCATAACTGCCTCACAGTAATTTTGTCTTCACACTGTCTGTTGTCTTTAAATGGGGATCTTTGGGACAGGGACCATCTCTTTGTTCTATTCTTTGTTCTGTGTCTAGCACAATGGGGCGCTGGCCTCCAAGAACTATGGTGATACAAATTATTTATAATAATAGCATCAGTGATATACATCTACCATTTACACAGGCATCTTGATTGTAAGACCAGATCAAAGATACTGTAGTTGATTTACTTTTTCTTCCCTGTCTTATTAAGAACAGCCTATTGAGAGAGTTCATTAATTAAACATGGACTCAGAAAGCACCCAAGCAGAGGAATTACAGCATTTTGAAACGAGCTCCAATCTTTTTTTGATAAATGCTGTTGTCTTCTGTACCCACCAGGGACTTTCCACGAGGGCAGTTGTGACAAGCCTCTCAATGCTGATATTCAGAATTGAAAGCCTTAGGCTACAAAGAAAATGTCAAAAAAGGCTAGAAACAGCAGACAGCTACGATCTATGTGCTACTTGTAATCCATCTGTGAGCAAGTCCCAGGGCTCTCTAAAAGGGACAACAGCTGGTCACCTTCAAAGAGAACATGGTTACAAAATAGCTCCATGATTTTTGTTTTATTACAATCCCATTATTGTTAGTCCATTGTTTTGTGTGTGTGTTTTTGTTTTAGAATGGTCTTGGCCTCATCCTGCAAAGTACTGAGCAGTACCTGTGAATTCAGTGGGAGCTGAGAGAGAACATTGTATCTTTCTGGATAGGTCCCTTTTCTAGGGAAAATTTGAACCCTACTTTTCTTATGGCTCTTAATTCTCTGTCTCACTCTCTTTAAAATCCACCCCTGCCCCTGAAACATATAACCAGAGCCTAATCATCCTGTCAGCTGCATGAATGCAACACTCAGCTGACTGGATGATCTGGCGCAGGGACTCTGACTCTATGGCTTCAGTGGTTGCAGGTTTTCAGAAGCTTATATCATCACTTCAGTTTCCAATGCTTGTCCTCTCCCAACAACTCTGTGCTATTCAACTGCCTGACCCTGCCAGCTTACTAGTGAAAAGTACATGAGAGTGAGTGCTCCTCCTCGATGTAGGGCTCAGTCTTACAGCCCTTACATCTATGTGGAGGAAAGCCAGGCCATGTGAATAAATACACATGGAGGGCTGCTGCTAAGGCACCATGATCAAAGAAAGAAACTTGTTCAGTCAGGACTGTTTCAGCACTGCTCATATTTTTCTGGCAGGGAAGGGATGCAAACCATACTGAGAACATGTATTTATGGGTAGGCACAAATCAGATACTTCTGGTTTTAATATTTATCCAAAAATTGCAGTATTATATTGATTTTTTTTTAAATGTAGGAACACTTTTAGGATTACATGCGAATCCACTTTAAAACCTACTTGTGATTTACAGCCGCGTGGTTACTTATATGGAGTATTATGTGAAGAAACTTTTGAATGGGCACATACAACTAACTACACAATGTTCATTTTAGGGAAGTTTTTAAGAATACATGTGTTTACTTCATTCTCAATGTTCCGCTCGTATTGTGGCAGGTCATCGGAAGAGCGGGGCTCCACGCAGCATAATATACAAATCTGATTGAAACAGCAGATGCGGTTGGTGATTATTCAGGCCTCGTAAGCCTAAGCTTTTTTTTTTAAAAAAGGCATATACAGAAATAAAAATTTAAGAGAAATTTTAAAAAGCACCTGTTCTTTTCATTAGGTTAATTCCTAAAGTTACATGGGAAAACAATGCAGAAAATGTATTTTCCCTTATTTAGAAATATTACTGTATTTAAAAATAGCACCTCTGAAAGTTTTATGGGTTATATAACTTTAGACATGAAGTTGCTAAGTGTATCCCAGAAATGTATGGTTTTGGAAAATGTCAGGCTACTCCTTCTGCTGTTTTAATTTATCCAGATGGGAATAATGGTGATCTATGCAATACAATAGTCTTTTCAGTATTAAAAATACAGGTATAGCTCTTTTTGAAAGTAGCATAATTTTCAAGGATTCACATATATAATTAACTTTATTTAAAAATGTATTGTTTATATTTTGTGATCATATAAACAGGTGCCCCATATGTCTTACTATCAATGAAAAGTGGAGGCTGTGGGGGAGAAAATCAATATAATCAGCTTGCCTGGACTATTTCATCAGGAACATAATCTTATTGAGATATGAAATATCTTAATTTGCCCCTTCCCCCCATTATAAAATGCTTGCAGCACAAGGATTTATGAGTGCTAAAAACAGCAAAAGCATTTTAATTTGATGGCTGTGATGGACATTTAAAAAAAATATATTTACAGTCTTGCCCTTGAGATTTATCTTCAGCTGATTAGATAGCTTGGGAATCATCCAGGAACTAGACTAGCAATTCATTGATCTGTGCCTTGCTGGGTGACAATCCTATTAACTGATGCCAAGATGTTGCTGGAATTTAAACTTGTTCTTATGTTTGGTCAGACTATTAACATGAGATGACATTCCTTACGAAAGCATCTTATGGGGCTGTTTAAGTAATACAGAATAACTGTGCAATTCTGTCAGGAGGGGACTAGACTATATGGATGGGTAGAGCTAGCATGGGTCAGACTGGTGAAGGAAGACCATCTGTCGTGTCAGAGAAAATGAGAAATCTGTGGGCAAACCCTGCTCAAATCTGTCCTACAGCTGTTTTTTTTTTTAAGTGTATCACTTATATTACAGGCGCTCCTTCCTGAGCTCTTGCCCGCTTCCTTATGTTTGTGCTTTGGCTGCAAACAAAAAGACAAACAATAGCTCCCCCCCATCCGCTGCGCAGACATGCTCTCCCACGTCTATTTCCAGCCGCACAGGACAAAGCCGCTGGCTCCCACTGCTCAGCCAGGAGAGCCGGCACCGAGCCCGCCCCAGTGCCCGGAGGGCAGCGCGTGTAGAGGGGAGGCCGGCGTTGCTTTGTGTGTGTGTCGGGGGGTGCCCAAGGCCAGCCCGGGCTAACAGCAACAGCGAATCCCCATAGCAGGAGTAGCGCCCCTCCCGGCGCGGCTCCGCTCCCCCTTCGACGCCCTCAATCTGTCTGCCGGTCTTAAACTCAAGGTCCTAACCCAGGGAGGCCGCCTGCACGAGCGCGCGCGCGAGGCTCCAACCTGGCCCGCAGCGCGTCCTCTTGGTCTCGCGCGGGGCTGCTCCGGGGTGGCGCGCGCACCCCGCCGTGGCCGCGCGCGCGCGCGCGCCGGCCGAGTTCGGCGCAGGCGCAGAGCACTTCCTTGTTTGCCCACGTAACGGCTGCGGGAGGGCGGGCTGCTGAGCCGAGTGTCACTCACGCAGTGGCTGTCAGAGGCGGCTGGAGCCCGAGTAACTCTCCGGAGCCACCAACGCCGCCGCCCCCCCCGCCACTTCTCCGCCGCCCCCTCTACGCTCCCCTCCCCCCCCCCGGCCGGGGGCGCAGCCGGAGCCCGCACAAGTTAGTGCTCAACTTCCCAGCCCCCTCCCCGGGACAGCGGCGAGCGAGGGGTCCCCGGGCGAGGCGCCTCCTCAGCCCCCGAGCCCGAGCGGGAGAGCTGGCCACAGCACCCCCTGCCGGCGCGGGCGCTGAGGCGGCCGGAGGGAGACCCCCGTCCGCAGGGAGCCGGGCAGAGGAGCTCCTGCCTCTCCGGCTCTGCTGGTGGATGCTCCGTGTCTCGCTGTGTTGTATTTAACCCCCTCTTTTCCCTCTCTTCCCCCGCCCCGCTTCTGTTTCCTCGTCTTCTCCGGGCAGGATCATGCCGGACCAGATCACCGTGCCCGAGTTCATCGCGGAGACCACGGAGGATTACAACTCTCCGACCACCTCCAGCTTCACGACCCGGCTGCAGAACTGCAGGAACACGGTCACGCTGCTGGAGGAGGTAAAGAATCCCCGCCTCGCCCCGCAGAAACTGTAGCGGGACAGGGGGGAGTGGCACCCCCAGGCCAAGGGGCTAGAGGCGGTGGCATGTAATATACTCTCCTTTCAGTCATTCTTTTAATGGTGGTAGCCTGCCGCCAGGTTTCATCCTTCACATGCACGCAACGCGCCTTTTAAACCTCTGAGGGCTGAAGCCTGTATGTGTCAAACAGTCAAGGCTGCGTGAACTTCTTCAACAACAACACGCAGATTTTGCCTTTCTGTGGTGGCGGCGGCAGTAGAAGAATTGTCTGAGGTTGGAGGAATGGAGGCTGTATGCTCTTGGGCAGCATAGTGGTAGATCCATTCTGCTTGGCAGGGACCAGCAAAGAATGTGATGGCCGGGGGAAAACTGCAGAGGAAATCTGCTTCAGAAGTGAGGCAGGGTGAAGAGATGAATGTAGAGTGGGGAGATAAATTGGAAAGAAACTGTGGGTCAAGGGAAAGCAAAATGATGCAATAGAACTGTCAGTTTGGTTTCATCCCATTCAGCCTAGCAGCCGGAAGTTATACATATGTTATTGGTACTTAAACCTACTCCCCTATTTGAGCAACTTGGAAGGGTACTCAGGGAACTGGATGTATTGTGTAGTTGCAGAGATGGCGTTGTTGCATCTTGTGATCTGCATCTGTCACTTGTGACATCATGATTTTCAGTATGTTTTTATAATGAATGGGACAAGTGTAGTAGATATTTTAGGGACAAGACTGACAAAAAAAAACAATGTAAAACCTTCTTTTCCCTATATTAGGTCAAAGTTGATAGCATATTGCCATATAAACGAAGTGAAACGTTTATTATCTTAGTTTGAAAGTTCACAGCTCTCAGTTCCCTATGATGATTTTCTTAACATTACAACTGACGTGTTTCAAGAGCTACATACAGACTAGAAGATAGATTGTGTTGATTCTCTCTATATTACAAAATTTTGCTGAGTGCTACTAGGAGACAAAATGTCTTGTGTGGCATGCAAAGGAATAGTATTAATCATGACATTCTTTTGGTAGTCTTGTGGATACAAAATGTAATTCTGTAAGATTACAATTAGTTAACGTTCCCTATGTTCAAAACTATAGTGGAACTATTCTTTTCTACAATAACTTTTAGGTAATAGAGTGGTAATAGAATTACTGGATGAATACAATTGCGTTAACATCCCTTTTATTTTTAAATCTGTGGCAGTGATCAGCCTTTAATATAACTTATTTCTCACTTGAAGATTAATCATTTCGTAAGACGGTATGTCTTATACTTGTACACTTGTACAATTGTCAGAAATCTAGTTTGTTCTGCACTTGACAATATTGCACCCTTCTGTTTTCAACAGTCTGAAATAGGGACAGTCATTATTATATACGTTTGGTAGTAGAGATGATGGTTCTTGAAAGCTACGTCTCCAAAGGCAGTGATAAGAGTTAAAGTAAAATTTCATAGAACTGCTCAAATCCAACATTGATATTCTCTTTCACTGACAACTTTTAGGGTAAGTATAGATGTACTTCAAATACAATATAACATTTATGTAATATACTGACAGTCTCAGTTGTGACTTTCCAGTTAAAAACAAAATAGGTAGGAGACCCTATTCAGCAGTCAGAATAGATAAGTTTAATGTGCCCTATGTTGCACCATTATGTAGTGATAGTACAAATCTTGGACCTTTGGAATATATAATATCTGTTTTTGTGAAATACATTACTTTGTACATTGCCTTTTTCATAAGAGGATCAGTAATGAGCATTGTTTATATTTGCATTGATAGTTTGGGGATTTTTTTGTGAAACTATATATATTCTGCATGCTTTATTTAATAGATCAGCACTTTAGGTTAAATTGGGTTACTTTTGAAGTTACAGTAACTTTTAGGAAAGTCTTTATTGAGGGGGCAGAGGGAGGAGAAGGCAAACCAGTAAACCGTTCTGTTGGGTACTTAAAAGATGTTTAACTTGATTCTTAAGTCACAGAAGTTCGGGCATGGGGGTGGCTTGCAAAGAAAGTGAAAAGTTTAGATGGGTGGATTGCCCCATATAAAGACTTTGTAGGGAAACTGCATTCTCACTTTTTTTTTTAAAAGTGATAGTTTGTTTAAAAACTTGGTTTATCCACAGTAGGAGAATTAAACCTTTCGACATGACCCGCTTTGTGTAGTGCCCTCCCAAAATTAATGTAATGCCTACCTTCTTTCTAATCAACAATTGCAACAGTATTCTGTCTCATTAAGACTGTGACAAAACTGCTCTGATTTTATTTTTTCCATATTCACAATCAGTGCCAATAAGACATCATTGAAATGTGAATTCCTCATTTCCATGTCATAACTGATGGCCTGTATACTTAAGTGGGAGAAAGGGTAATGGAATTTATTGGCTAGCTTAACTAGGGTTTCCTCATGTACTTTTTCCCACCATGCAAGAAGCCAGAGTGTAGCTTATTTAACTGCCTCAGTACACTGATATGTATTCATTTGTGACTCCTTTCATATCATGTTAACTGGATTCCAGAAGCTAGTGGAGATTCGAGATTTGGTGAATCTTGCCCATATGCTCAGGGTTTAGCTGATCACCATATTTGGGGTTGCGAAGGAATTTTCCTCCAGGGCAGATTGGAAGAGGCCCTGGAGGTTGTTCGCCTTCCTCTGTAGCATGGGGCACGGGTCACTTGCTGGAGGATTCTCTGCTCCTTAAAGTCTTTAAACCACAATTTGAGGACTTCAAAAGCGCAGACATAGGTGAGAGGTTTTTCGCAGGAGTGGGTGGGTGAGATTCTGTGGTCTGCGTTGTGCAGGAGGTCAGACTAGATGATCATAATGGTCCCTTCTGACCTTAATATCTATGAATCTCTGAATCTATGATTTGATAGGATGGCAATATTAAGCCTGGGATCACGTGAAAAATTAGAGAAGAAATTGTTATCAAATGACACCAGTATATATATATATGCCATAATTTGGTACGTTTTTAGCAGACGGCGAACATCACAAGAGAACATCAGAAGACTAAGAAGGACTCTGTGAAGTACTCTTGTGTATTTCAGTTTTCTCTGTAAATCATATTTAAGTAAAACTAAATGTAACGTGAGATTCTGTCAGTGAGAAAACAGCAATTACACACTTGTACAGAGCATGGAACCCTTGTAGTCAGTAAAGTTGAGCACGTATTAGTTCAAAATCTTAAATTCACTTTGAGACTGTTTGCATTTTGCAATATTCTAGTAAATGAACTTACTGGCAGGAATGTCTGTTTTAAGGTACAGTCTGTTTTAAGAGAATGTTACAGAATATTAATGGAAAGCAGATTTTAAATTTCACAAGTGTTTCCACACAAAAACCTGATCTTGTGAGTTCTTCTCATCTCGTCAGGAAACTAAAATAGACTATGTGAGCTCTGTAAAATCAAAACTGCTTGAATCTTAAATACTAGTAAAAAAGTATTTTATCAGATAACACATGCAAAGAGAATTGCAGGACTCATTATATAAACTAGTTGTTTAATTTAAAGTATCTGAGATTATCTAAAGTAATTATTTCATCAATAAATTGGGATTATGTGGTAATTCCTACTAAAGGTAAAATAATGGGTGTTACCGATATTTACATGTTTGTATTGATAGGAGAATGAAGGATTTAAGAGAAAATTAAATTTTGTGGTGGTTGTTTTTGTTCAACAAAACTTGGAATTTTTTGGTATTTTCCTACAAAGATTTTTCTTGACATAATGTTAAAGTCACAGAAATATCCTTGCCAGAGCTATCATTATAACGTTATTTTTCTGTGGGAGTATTGCACAGTAGTTTATATATCAATTATATACAAAGTTGATGGGTCATTAGAACATTGGGTGTATGTAGTCATACCACAAGACAATATACAAGTTATTGAAGGCATGGGATAGGATAGTGTGTGGGCACTAGTTGTGAGTATAGATCAGATCTGTTCAGGTGTAGTCTCTCAGTTTTGTTCTTGGCAAGCATGCTTTTAAATCAAATAGCCTGATGAACCAAATTACTGAAACAGTTAATTTTCTATCATTAAAAGTAATATGTGTGAATTCAGTGTTTGTGAAAAGTGCCAGCTTATTTGAATCTTGGGGAATGAAAACAGCTATTCAGAGCACAAGTTTCAAATGTGCAGTAGCAATGCAAGGCTCTCTCCACTACCTTCCCAATGTGACTCAATCCTAAACTGGAGGAAGACGTCTGCAGTGAAAGGGTAACTTTTGGTCATCATGATCACACGGTGTTTAGTCTCTCTTTTAAGGCTGACAGCTGGTGCACTATATGTGTTTTTGGTGGGGTTTGTCAGATGGTCACTTGTATATTAAAACTAGACCACGACTCCAAACTCACTCTATATGGGCTGATAAACAGCCATCAGATTATGATTTTCTGTCTCTACTGACCTGGTCTGGATTTGAGCTTATGACATAGCCTTCACCACTAACAATTGCTTCCAATGACTACTTTCCTGTAAATTTGTGTAGCACTCTTGCAATTTGAGTTAAATATCACTTTTCACTGAATAGTAGTAAAGAGAAGTTTAAAACTGTGAGCACTTTCTCAGGTCTGCAGGATTTTTCAGTAGTAGTAATCTCATAAAGCCATATTTGTAGGTAAATTTAGGAACTGCTTAGATGGGATGAAAGGTGATGTTGGGTAACTACAAAACATGAGTGCCAAAATAATTTTCTGTTTCACATGTTTTGCAGTCTGTTCTGGTCTCTGGTAGAATTTTGTTGTAATATACCATAAAAGCACTATGAACATTTCATATCTCTATATAAAAATGTTAATACACTAATACAGTGGTTCTCAAAGCTAGTCTGCCGCTTGATCAGGGAAAGTCCCTGGCGGGCCGGACCGGTTTGTTTACCTGCCGCGTCCACAGGTTCCACCGATCGCGGCTCCCATTGGCTGCAGTTCGCCGCTCCAGGCCGAGGGGGGCTGCAGGAAGGGCGGCCAGCACG